ATTAGAATTTTTTAAATAGCTGTTTCAAGAAGACTTTTCATACTTCATTTGAACATGCCTGAACTTTACTTTTGGTTATAATGTTTTATGTGAGAGCTGTGACAGTCAAAAAGCATAGCCGATACAATAATGGCAATAGAATCATAGAGTTGCAAGGAGCCATTTTGACCGTCAATCCCTGCTCAATGCAGAAATTCCAATTAAATCATCTCGGTTAGATAGCTGGCTAGCTTCTGCTTGAATCTAGTGAAGCCTACTGTCTTTTGGCTAATTGGTTCAACTGTCAAGGAGCTCTTATTCTTAGGTATTTTTTTCCTAACATTTAATTGCAGTCTGCAACTTAAACCCATTATTCTGGGTCTGGCATTCGGGAAAGAGAGAAAACAAGCCTTGACTTTTTATATGACATCCTTTGAAGTATTTGCTGTCATAAACCCAGGGAAATACCATATTGTTTGGTCATTATTAAAATTATATAAATTTTGTAAATCTAAATTCTCAAAGTGTAGCTCAAATGTTTGAGATATTTTTAATTTTAGTAATTATTTTTAATTTAGGCTCGTGCTGTATTGGAAAGGGAATTTAATAACCTTCTTGTGATGGGCACAGACAGGAAGTTTGAAGAGGTGAGTTTAATTTTATGAGTCTATCCAGCCTATTATCCTGTCCTGTTTATATGGACAGCCAGAATAATTTAATGGTATCTTTAAATCAAATCTTTGTTTACAGAAAAAAATTTAAGTACGAGATACCACACTCCTACGCATTCACTGCAGAAAGATATAGTAATGAGTTTTTCACATAATTAATGGTCCATCTTTGTTCTTTCTGCTATCATAGCACCCAAGATTAATAGTATCTACTAATGCAGACAAAATGACTCACTGTGATCAAAGATATTTTAGATAACTTTTTTTCTTAAGGAAGGTGTTACATGAAGTCCTTTCTCTACTACATGTTCAGCATCTCTTTTATCTTCAAGACTTTTCATTGTTCAGTTCTTTCTGTGCATGCATTCAAATTTTCATTTCATTTGCTATGATCAAACAGATTCCAATTAATTCTCAGCAGCTTTTTTGAGAGAAGGAAAGAAGCAGCAGTAGTTCCTGATGTAAATTCTATCAAGATTTTATACCGTATATCTCATGCTGTTTTGATGAAGTACCAACTGGTGTTTCTATCCAAATCTGGTCTTGTGCTTTAGATTCAGCCATAGAACTGTTATCAGTCACTTGATATTCTAAGAAACTGAGGCCACTGGGGGAAAAAAATCACACAAGTGGCATAAAATAGAAATGAATATGAAACACCAAGTAAAATCATTCTTCAAACTGAATCTTTGGGGATCATGGCAGCAAAATTCACTTTGTTTTTTTACCACCATAATGTCCACATCTTCCTTAGCTGAGCTATTTTCAGTTGTTGAGGAACCTAGTGAATCTGAGTAGAAATCTCAAAGGAGTGCAGTAACGAGTTTGGTAGATAAAATCACTCGTAAGACTTTTAATTGTTGATCCTGTAGTTTTAAAAGAAACAGATGCAGAACTCTTCATTATCCCTTCTATGAGAATGTAAGTGCCAGTATACTTAATATCACCCTGTAGTGGAGTACAAAAATTATGAAACTGATTTACCATAGGATCTGGTAATACTGCTTTTTGTAACCAGCTTATGAGACTAGATAGGAAAAACATGTTCACTTTAGGTACTAAGATGTAGGGGAGTAAATATATTATCTTTGTAAAAAAAAAAAAAAGAGAGAGAGAGATATTTGGGTTTGAAAAAAATCACAACTGACCAATTCTTGTAAAAAGGCCAGTAACATGTAAACATACATTTCAAGGATACAGCTACAGTACCTATGATAGTATTCTGTATTACAAGTTGTAAATAATTGTGTATTGTGTTGTTCATTTTATAGTATGATTTTTCATCATGCTTGTTAATTTTACAGGATGATGATAAAAGCTTTAGACGCGCACCTTCATGGAGAAAGAAGTTCAGACCAAAGGACATAAGAGGTTTGGCTGCTGGATCAGCAGAGACCCTCCCTGCAAATTTTAGAGTTACCACCTCAATGTCTTCACCTTCTATGCAACCAAAGAAGATGCAGATTGATGGTAAAATATTAATTATTTAAGCATACTATCTATTTCTGAATTAATTTGTAAGCAAACTGAGAAGCATCTGTTTTGTGTAGAAAACTTACTCTGCATGACTTACTGGATTGCTTTAATTTCTCAGTGAATGATTGCAGTATTTGTATTTTTTGCTTATTTAGTATTAATAACTGGCTTTCCATGTACTCGGTTTAACGAAATCTTCAGTTGCCTTTATCATTTAAAAGTCTCTTTGACAGAAGAAAAAAAAAATAGAAATGCTTATTACAGCTTACTGCTGTAATAAGATAATTTCAGTTCATCTTCTCAGGAAAATGCTAAAATGCAACTTGTTATTTATTTATTGAAAATATTTATGGCCCACCCACTATTCCAAATATCTTGTGTCATTTATTAAAAAGCAAGATAATAAGGTACAACTAAGTAATTAAAAAAAAAAAAGACACAATAATGATCATAGTAACATTAACAGAGAGGCATTTAAGGGACAGAAGGCATGGCCAGTCTATGGACACTGTATCTTAAGTGTGAGAATAAGAAGCAAGGCATGGCCAGTCTATGGACACTGTATCTTAAGTGTGAGAATAAGAAGCAAGCA